TGGTGTGAGGGGGAGAGGGGAGAGATGTATGGGTAGAGGCAAGACATAGCTGAGTGGAGGTGTGGAGTCAATTCAAGAGAAGAATTGAGACTGCGTGACCGGGAGGGTGATCATGCTCTCAACAGTGACAGGGAATTTAAAAGGGTAAGGGCTTGGGGGAAAAGATAATTATGTTCAAGTTTGGACATAATGGGGCATTCAGTTTGAGATGTCCAGTAGATAGAGATTCAAGACTGGGGCTCCATCAATAGAGAAGTTAGAGGCTGGCCAAGTAAATCTGAGAATCATCAGAGTAGAGATGATAATTAAAACCATGGGAGTTAATGAGATCACCAAGTGAAATAGTGTAGGAGAAGAGGGTGATCAGAGGCTGCAGAGGTTAAGAATGAGGACTAGGAAAAGGCCGTTGGTGCCTTAGGGAGTGCACATCTGGTGCAATGACGATGTCAGAAGCTAGATTGTAGAGAGTTAAAAAGAGAGGATGTGGGGGCACCTGCTGTAAATAGGCCTCGAGTTAAGGATGCTCACAAGACACCTACATAGAAGACAAGAAGGCAGTTGGAAAGGTGAGGTTGGAGAGATTGGAGAGGAGAGAGGTTAGGGCTGGGCAAATAGATTTTAGTATCTACAGCATAGAGGTTGATTATTGAATATGGTCGCTGTTAAGATTGCCAGGTGCGATAGTATAGAGAAGAGGACCCAGGACAGCCCTCTGAAGGACACCTACTGGTTATTGGTGTGACCTGAATGAAGATCCAGCAGAGGATACTGGGAAGGGGAGGTCATATAGGTAGGAGGAGAATGAAGAGAGAGCAGTGTCAGGACAGCTCTGAGAGAAGAGAGTATCCAAGAGGAGAGGGTGATTGACGAAAGAGATGGCAGGCTGTTAGTAGCCATGTTTGAGACCAGAAACTAGGGCACCATGCTGGTCAGGGGTTAAGCCACAGGAGTGGGGAACTTAACAGCCTGGAGGCCACATGTGACCCCAAGGCCATAGGTTCCCCACCCCTGGTTAAGGCACCCCAAGACCCCTTGGACTGAGGAATGCTGGGAATGAACGGAGACCTCAAAAAGAAAGCAAAAATGGTAGTTTCTAGTAATTTCCATTTCTATTGACCTTCCCTGTTTGTTAATAAAAGACCTTATTAAGGGTCCTTGGATTCCAGGCTTTTTGAAAAGTGGATTTGTAGCATTTGAACAAGAACCCATGAAAGAACTGAACAGAGCAGGCACCAGATGTTTCTCGGGAGGACTGAAGGCTCATTCTTTACTAGGAAATTTGTCTTCTGGCAGACCTGTAATAAAAAAGGCATGTAAGGTAGCCTTTTAACCATACTAGTTCAGACGACTTCTGGACCATTGTGATGAGTTCTGGGTGCTCCATTTTGAAAGAGCATTGGCAGACTGAAAGGTCATTGGGAAGCATTGAGACCTGAAACTGGTAGGCCAGGTGAAGTGGAAGGAGATGGAGCTGTTTATAACCCAGGGAAGAGAATGGGGCTAGGGAACGGGGACGGGCCGTGGTCAGGATCTGACAATGTCCCACTGGCTCCACTGACTAATAAGAGAAGTAAAACAACTCTTGGGTTTAGCTCATGTTGAAAAAGCTTCCCAAGAAAACACAGGTGGGCAGGGTTGGAAGGAGCCCCCCTCCCCCACCTGGCAGGGATGCTGGGAGCTGTTCCAGGCTGTCTAGAAAGTAGTTTGCAATTATTCTGAGAAACACTAAGGGGTCCTTGCCCTTTGGCACAGAGGTCCCACTGCTGGGCTCCAGGGAGGCCAGAGACAGAGAACGGGGAGCCAAGTAGATGCCACACAAATTCTACATGATTGTAATGGAATATGGCCCCATTGGGAGAAATGTTGAAAAGACAGAATTAAGAGGAGGTTGGGAAGGCTGATAGAAATTGGTGCAGTGTGGAGTAAACAGGCACTGGAAACACCTCACTCCCGGTAACAGCATCAGCTTGGAGATGTCAGCATGCTGCTGCTGGAGCCTGTGCTGGGGAGAAGAGAGAAGAAAAATCACCCCTGATATTTCATTGGAGAGATGGGGATTTTTGGTGTGGAATACACTGTCAGATTTGCTGAACTTCTTTATTTTTTGTTAAACGGATGGCCTGCTAGGGATGGGGGATCAAAAAATCAAGTTGTTAGTGTTTTAAATCCTAAGGGCTACTATGTGGAAAGAGGGACTGATTTTCTGGGGGCTGCAGAGGGCAGAAGTCGGCCTCATCTGTCCAAGGAGCAGTTAGACTTAGGACGTTGTTCCCAAAGGCCCATCTGGCTCAGGGCTTTGAGTTAGAGGGAGGTGTGTTTGGGCCCAAAATGAGGAAAGACCTCTTGAATTCTTTTCCAAGCCTGTGGGTTGGTCTTCCTGCCCTCAGTTCTTTCCCTTCCCCAGTCTGTCATCCTTACAGTGGCCAGATCGCTGATCTTTAAAGCATGGGTGCCGTTGTCTTGCATGAGAAATTGCTGGGCTGCCTGGTACCACTAGGATCAGGCTGTTTTGGCATTGAAAGTCCACCGCTTGTAATAGTCTGGCTCCAGTCCACCTTTCCAGCCTTCTCATTGTCCATCACCCATTGTTTCTGTGCCCTCATTCTACATTCCAGCCTACCTTCTGTAAGCCCCAAACCCCATTCAGGGAGTGAGGTGATGAAACTAGTGTATTAAAGATCGGGATTGTGTGTGGCCCCCAAGGGCAGATTTAGGAGCAGAGGATACAAAGTGGCAGAAAAAGCAATTTCAGTTTGGAGTAACTAAATTACTATTAGATAAATGAATTTTAATTAGATAATAATTACTATTGAGTAACAGCTATCCAAAAGTCAGTAGGCCATCTTGGGAAGTAATGACTTCCTCATGGTCAGAAGGTGATCAGAATGGAGGTCAGGGATGTTGTAGAGGGAAGAATCCTCTACAGATGGTGTTGGGAAAAAGTGGGTGGGTAGAACGGAGGCCAGGTTTCCAGCGAGGAGGCTGGGGTAACATTACCCCAGGTAATGGGATCTGGGACCCGGCCTAGTGGGTCTTCTAAAAAGAAGACATTTAGGGGGAGGTGGGGGAGGCAAGACTCTTTCTCCTTTGGAATTTTGGGGAGGGGCTTATTTGAGATTAACTCCCTAGCAGAGGATTGGGTTCGAGTGCCACCATCTCTGGCATGATCTTAGCATTTAAAACCATTTTAAGAAATAATAAACCTAAGAACCGCAAGCAAAGGCAATGAACAAGTCTGAGCCCAAATCGCTAGTTCTTAACAAGGCAGAACCGAAAGAATTAACAAGCAGAAAGGTGCAAATTAGAGGGAAGATGGTTTTGTTCAGTGGCCCCCCTTTAGACCCGTTTGAAATCGCACCTCTGGCATCGCTGTCTTTCTTTTTTTCTTAGCATAGCTTTGGTCAGCGTGTACACCATTTGGGCTCAGCTGACTTCTTTCCTCTTCACCTCACCCAGGCCTTACCACGTTTCTTCGTTGTCATTTTCTGTCAGTAGCAATTCAGAAGCGCTCCATTCCACCAAAGGGGCTGATTCGGTCAGACGTTCTCAGATTGTTGGACACGTCTGTTGCTGAAGAATTTTCTGACTTGGGTTGTGGTTAGCTGGTTACTAACGGCTTGTTTTTATTTCTTCCTTCATGAATTGTCTTCATGGTTTTTTTTGACTCTCACTCCATTTGTCAGTGCCTCACATCAGCCCTTCCAGAAATAAGGTTCCCAGAACAGAGTGCGCAGTCCTTGAGGTGAAGATCTAATGAGGATGGAGACTGTCATCTCCCTTGCTTTGGGCACCATAGTGTTGAATCGTTTCAGTCCTGTCTGGCTCTCTATGACCCCATTTGGGTTTTACTTGTCAAAGATACTGGAGTGGTTTGCCATTTTACTTCTCTAGCTCATTTTACAGATGAGCAAACTGAGAAAACAGGGTTAAGTGACTTGCCCAGAGTCACACAGCTAGTAGGTATCTGAGTATTTGAACTCAGGTCCTCCTGACTCCAGAACTGGCGCTCTGTACAGCAGGCAGCCTAGCTGCCCTCGGGGCTGTGCTTCTCTTAACATTCCATTAGCTTCTTGGGGCCCAAGTCACACTGTTGACTCATTGAGATTTCAGTCCCCCACTAAAGTCTCCAGATCTTTTTCTGTGAACTACCTTCTAGGAATATACCTTCATCCTGGACTTGGGCAGGTTTTTTTTGTCTGTAACTAAAAAAGGGACTTTAGATCTAGTTTGGCACTTACAAATCTAAGTGTCACACGCAGTTCATTTGTTTTCTGCTGTTCTTACTTGTTCTTTTCTGCCCAGCCTGGTGCAGCCTCGTGGGTTGAGCCTTGCTTCCTTCCTCAGGTCAGGCCTCACTGTAGGGACTGCTGCTGGGGTGGGGTTGACAGCATATTGCTCCAAAGGAAGGGCTCGTGGAGCTGCCTCCATCCCTTCTCAGTGCCCAGCTGGTGGGTTGGCAGGCTCTACTGTAGCGCCGTGCTGGTGTGGCTGCCACAAATGGTGGTTGTCACCTTGTGGCAGAAATGGAAACAACCCTATTGGCCCCAATTCATGAAGTTTCTGTCTCTTGTAAGGGGGAAAGGTACTTGTCTTTGATACTAAGTTATTGGGCATTATTTCATGTCGTCTTTTAGCTTGCATCTGAAGGATGATTCTGCTTTATCCCAAAGCAGCAAGACTCTGGCAAAAATGTCCAAGCCAGGGTGTCTGAATTCTTCATTTGTTGAAGGCAGTTTGGTATGTTAGGAAGAGGCAGGCAGAAGGCTTGGCTAAATCACTTAATCTCCCCTAGCCTCAGTTTCCCCCTCTGTGAAACGGAGTTGGATTACATGCTTGCCAAGCTCTTGGGTTCTCTCGTAGTGTCTTCTGGCCATGGTGCGTTATTAGCTGACCCTCCTCCCCTCCCGTGCCCAGTCTTGAAAGGAGGGGGACGTTTTCAAGACCCAGCTGAGCTTTCAATGGCAGGCTTAACTCACGTGAGCCTTTCTGGGTTTTTGCAGGTAACCGAGCTCAATGAGCCGCTCTCCAACGAAGACCGAAACCTCCTGTCTGTGGCCTACAAGAACGTGGTGGGCGCGAGGCGGTCTTCCTGGCGCGTCATCAGCAGCATCGAGCAGAAGACCATGGCCGACGGCAATGAGAAGAAGCTGGAGAAGGTGAAGGCCTACCGCGAGAAGATCGAGAAGGAGCTGGAGACCGTGTGCAATGACGTGCTGGCGCTGCTTGACAAGTTCCTCATCAAGAACTGCAACGACTTCCAGTACGAGAGCAAGGTCTTCTACCTGAAGATGAAGGGCGATTACTACCGCTACCTGGCGGAGGTGGCCGCGGGCGAGAAGAAGAGCAGCGTGGTGGAGTCCTCTGAGGCCGCCTACAAGGAGGCTTTTGAGATCAGCAAGGAGCACATGCAGCCCACCCACCCCATCCGGCTCGGGCTGGCCCTCAACTTCTCCGTCTTCTACTACGAGATCCAGAATGCCCCTGAGCAGGCCTGCCTCCTGGCCAAGCAGGCCTTCGACGACGCCATCGCCGAGCTGGACACGCTCAACGAGGATTCCTACAAGGACTCCACCCTCATCATGCAGCTGCTGCGGGACAACCTCACCCTCTGGACGAGCGACCAACAGGACGAGGAGGCCGGAGAAGGCAACAACTGAGCGGCCGCGGCGACTCCGGCCCCGCCCCCGCCCCCCCAGCCCCGCGCCGTCCCCGCCGTCGTCATCGCCGCGTCCCTTGCCACGGTCCCTCGATATCTAGTGCTAAACATATCCGTATCGTCCACACAGCGACTCCCACGAATCAGGAAGCAGCCCCAGACGAGGCGTCCTGGGCATCACCGGGTGGATGGATGGTTGGAGCCCACGCGAGCTCCCTCCCTCCCTGGGCTGTGCACACAGGAGGCTCTTGAACGCAGGGGAGCCGGTGAAGGGAAGGAAGGGAGGGAGAAAGGAAGAGATTGGAAGGAGAATCAGCCTACATTGATGTTAAAGATCTGTCCCGTTTCAGCTGCGCTCATAGTGTTTTGTTCAGCAGTACGTCACCTGCATGCGGAATACGTTGACTCCCCCCCCCCCCTGTCTCTGCCGACGGGAAACAGGTACGGGAAGCTGATGCCCCACCAGACGAGCCGACCCCGCCCATCAGCTTACGACGAACTGTCGCAAATGTGAGGTCTCCGTAATGCCTTGGTTTTGCCTCTTTAAATTATGTGCACAAACCTTGTTTTCAATGCGATGCCTCTGAAAGTTTTGATACTTGTAACTTTTTTTTTTGGTTGCGATTGTTCAGGAATCCTGGATTTATTATTATGATGATGATGTATTTTTTTTTGTAGCTCTTTGGCCGTTGTCCTTGTGTATTCTGACAGCGAGTGCCATGTGTCAGCCCATGTCAATCAAGGTGGATGATTGTGAAACACCAGACTTCTAAAATCAATGTTTTGGAATTCAGTGGATTAAATAAATGCTGCTTTGGGGATATTATCGCTAAATGTGTGGTCTTGACTCATTCTTTCCTGCCCCATCTTGAGTGTGCTTGCTTCCCCCATCCCCCACCCCCCACCCCACGGGAGGAGGTGTTGTGCCAGCTCCAGACTGCGTGAGAGGCAGCATGTTATTGTTGATGGAGCCAGGCACTTGGACTTGGAGAGACCTGGGTTCAGATCCCACCTCTGACCCTTATTAATAGCTGTAGGACCCTGGGCAAATTACTGAAACTATTTTTCCTCATTTATGTAGTAGACGGTAATATCAGCACCTACCTTACTGGGATAAAACATGGAAAGTGCTTTGCCAGCCTTCAAGCACTCTGTAAAAATGCCAGCTGTTCCTCTTGTACCCCGAGTATGTGTTACTGAGGCACCCTTTGGCCTGAGCTCACCTTATACCTGGACTGGGAAGCCTTCCTGGGATAGTGCTGCCGGCTCCTAAAGCCTGAGGGAGCCGGGGGAAGAAACTGGGACGAATGAATGAGTACGAGATGATGGGATTTAAAATGGCCAGGCCCTTTAGAGAGTCACCCCAACCTCCTTTTGCAAAGGAGGAAACCAGGGCCAGGCTTGGGAAAGGGATTTGTTCAAGGTCACACTCATAGTAGAAGCAGAGCTGCTGACTTCAGCGTGGTGTTCTGCACTAATCCTTCAGCCCCTGGCCCTTTCTGGCCTCTGCCACCCTGTAGCAACAGACTCCTCTGTGGTCCTTCCTCATTAGGAATCACTTGACGCATGTGGTTTTTGGTGTTTTCAAAATCCCTATGAGGCAGCGAGTACTACAGACGTGACCCTGACTTCATCGCACTTAAGCCAAGGAACACGCCCTCTGTTTTGGTTGCCGATTATGACAGACTTTGGGGTCTCTGTGAGGTTAGACAAAAACACTGCCTTCACCTTCATAAAAAGGTAGAGATTCGTGTTTGAAGTGTTGTCACCCTGCCAGCTTGGCTGCAACTTTGACGTCTCATCTCCAATGGGGATCTGAGCTCTCTCTTCATTAGGGTTAATGTTGTTTCTTTGTTCTTTGGTAGGACAGGAGATTATGTAGGGTGTCCTAGAAATCTTAGTGCAGCTTTAAGCTTTGACAAGCTTATAGTAAACTTAGACCTACACTAAGCCTTGCAAAAGTGCAGCATCAGCACATTGATAGGTAGGGTAATGAATTCTTTGTTCACAGTAGCCCCCGAAGACCCATCTGATTATAGTTATAGTAACTGAGATAGCTCATTAAGGTTTATATATCTTATTGGAGCCCCATAGCAACACTGAGGTGGGTGTTCGTGATACCTGTTTTGGAGATGAAGAAACAGGCTGAGAGAGCTTAAGTGACTGGCCTTGGGTTGTGTGTCTGGATTCCAGCCCAGGTCTTTGTGACTCCCAAGCCCTCCACATGATTCACTGCTTTGCACCACCAAGTCAGAAGTTGTAAGCTGCATTGGAGGAAATTCCCACGTGGATGTTTCCTTGCAGGCAGAAGAGAACGAGGTGTCACAATCCAGCCCCTCTGATCTTGTCAGTGTGATCCACTCTCGCTGGCCCATCATGTGTAACTTGCCTGTGTTCTCCCACAAATTCATCACAGGTGTGCTCTATTAATTTTTTTTTAAATCAAAATTCACCTTGCCTTCCATTGAGAAAGAAAAAAACCAAACCCTGTTAAAAATGTAGCCAAGCAAAACAAGTTCCTGTATTGACCGTCCTCACCCCACCTTCTTCCCAAGCCTCAGTCTGCACTTCTGTCTCAGTGAGTCCGTCCTCTGTCTCCAGCTAGTTAGCATATTTAATTGGGAGTCCTTTGGAATTATGGTTGGTCATTCCTGCTGCAGTTTTTCATGACTCATCAGTGGAGGGTATAGTCTAGCCATTGATTTATCTGCTCTGCCTTATACATCTCTTTGGTAACAGATTCTGCCCATAGGCATTTGAATGTTAAGAAAAGGGGAAATTTGTATTTAAAATCTGAGTGCCCAGTGGTACCCATTGGCTTAGAAGTTGGTTAAGTTTTCAAAGAATGGCAAAGCAACGAAGTTATCTTAATCCCTCTTCCAGATAGTTAAGGCAGTGGTCATTCTCCCCCTCTCTTCAGCTCAGAATTGAATGTGGTTTGGTATAGGGTGTCCGTGCATAGTTTGGCTAGACAGAAAGAGTCTCATGCCTGAATGTGGCCTTGGAAGAATGTCCCAGTGGAGTGCCCTAGGGATCCTTCCAAGCTAAATCTCTCCCGTGACAGAATGTCACCTCTCCAACATCCCATGTGAGTGGTTATCCCATTCAGCCTTTGTTAAAAGACCTCCGGTGATGCCCTTTTGGACAGCTCTGTTAGTAGACAGTTTTCCCAGATGTCTGTCTCCTGCTCCCTACCCTGTTACTCTTGGTACTGTTCTTTGAGGCCAAACGAAACCAGTCTAAAAACACTTCTTTTGTAAGGGAACATTAAAAATACTTGGAGACTGTTACGCCCCTGCTAAGCCCTCATCTTGAGATCCTTCACCATCCTGATCAGCTGTATGAACTCCTTTGTGTCCCTCCGAAATGTGGTTGTTCAGGAATTTTTCAGTTGTATTTGACTCTTCGTCACCCCTTTTGGGGTCTGTTTGTCAAAGATACTGGAGTAGTTTGCCATTTCCTTCTCCAGCTCATGTTACAGGGGAAGGAACTGGGCAAACGGGGTGAAGTGACTTCTCTAGCGTCACATGGCTAGTAAGTGACTGAGGCTGGATTTGAATTCAGGTTTTCCTCACTCCAGGCTCAGCACTCCCCACTTGCACCATCCAGCTGCAGTAGTACTCAAGGATTATTTCAAGTGTTCTCAGGATAGAAATCCCATCCCTTTCACCAGTCCTCTGGCTGTCCTCCACGTAATTCACCTGGAATTGAGTATGGTATAACCATGGGACGCAATTGGAGTATTTGGCTAGACTAAAAGCCTCGTGTCTGGATGTCACCTCGGATGAGGGTCCCAGGTAGAGTGCCTTAGGGATCTCTGGCTCCCTGCTTTTTAAATCGGTGATTTGGATAAAGGCATAGATGTAGCATGGAATGCAGATGACTCCGCTGGGAAGGACAGCTAAACGCCTTGTATAACAATTCAAGAAGGAAGCTCTTGACACTGAATTAAGATGAAATTGCATAAGAATAGATGTAAAGTTACTCTTGGGATTAAAATCAGCTTCACCAGGCTAACCAGTGCCTTGTCTGCAAAGGTATTGGGTTTTATTCTTGAACTTTGAACTCAGCACAAGTCAGAACAAGTCAACACAAGTGGCCAAGAAAGCTAGTGCAACGACATTAATCGAGGTCTAGTGTCCAGAACCAAGATGGCAGTGATGCGCTTGTGCTCTGCTCTAGTCAGGGCGCGCGCGGAGTTTTGTGCCTAGTTCTGGGTGCTGCATTTTGGAAGAACACCTAGAAAAGGTCCAACAGGAATGTGAAGGGGCTTGCCGTATGAGGTTCAAGTGGAAGAACTGGAGATCTATCACCTGAGGAGGAGATTGGAGAGGGAGGGGGATGTAATAATGATCAACAAGTTGTTGGAAGAGGTGTGAGCCTTGTTTTGCTTGGCCCCAGAGGACAGATCTAGGAGCAGTGGGGGTTGGGGGGAAGGGAGTTGCAAAGGAGGCCAATTAGGACTTGATGTAAGGGAAGCCTACCCAACAGCTATCTTAGAGTGTAGTGGGCTACCTTGAGATGTTCATAGATTCCCCTTCCCTGGGCAATTTTGGGAGATAAATTCTGGGGCAGGTAGGTGGCAAGTGGATAGAGCTCTGGGCCTAGAGTCAAGAAGACCTGAGTTCAGATCTGTCCTCGGACACAAGCTGTGTGCCCCTGGCCCAGGCACAACCCTATTTACCTCAGTTTCCTCCTCTGCAAAATGAGCTGGAGAAGGAAATGACAAACCACTCCAGTAGCTTTGCCAAGAAAACTGTCAGACATGACTGAACAACCAAAATGGGAATTCTTGTCCAGGAATGGATCAGCTGAGACGCCGCTGAAGTTCCTTCAAACCCTAAGATTCCATGACAGTTGTCTTCTCTGAAAACTACTGTTAATACAGACCAAAAAACAAATTGACTTGGCGATCATAGATTTAGAAGTAGACAGTCTTAGAGGCTAGCCATCCCCATCCCCATCATTTTATAGATGTGGAAACTGAGGCCCAGGAGGTTAAGTGACTTGCCCGAGGTCACATGGAGTAAGAGACAAAACCATAATTTGAAGCCAGGTCCTATGATACCAATATATTTTCCCCTATGCCACACTCATCCCCATCACACTGTAAGTAGCAACTTCAACCCTGCAAGAATTCAGGTCTTTTTTCATGGGAAATGCATAATAAAACACCTCATCTCCATCCTTGGTTTGTGTGATTTATGTTTGTTTTTGTTTTTTGCACTTAAGTGTAAGTTTTCGTGTTTATTTTTATGGGAGAAGGCATAGAAAGGGAATAATGCATTGAGTCATGCATGAGATAATAATGGGTAACATAGTCCTTTAAGTTTTACAAAGCGCTATAGACACACACACACACACACACACACACACACACAATATCTCTGTATCGTAGACTTAGATCAAGAGGGGAC